ATTTTATTCACAAGAATGAATTAACAGTGCTGTATCAGGCCAGCGTTTACTCCAAAAACTATGTCTTTTTTCCAATTCCTGCAACTTGTGAATCTTCCTTCCTTTGGAGGGAGATCTTTGCAGGTGTGATTAAATTAAGGGTTTTAAAATGTCTATCCTTGATTATATGAGTAGGCTCTGAATGCATTGTAAGTTGCCCCAATAGAGTTTAAGAGAGATTGAGTGTCCTAGGAAGAGATGATGATATAAAGAGGGAGGTGATTTCAATGGATAGTGCCACAAGCCAAGGAATGCTGACATCACCAAAAGCTAGAAGAAACAAGGAACAAGTTCTCCCCTAGATCCTCTCAAGAGAGTGCAGTTCTACCAACACAGTGAGCTCTGATTTCTGGCTGCAGCTTTGTGAGAGAATACATTTCTGTTGTTCAAAGCAACCAAAGCCATGGTAATTGGTTAGATGGTATTACATCAGCAGGAAGCTAATGCAATAATAGGCAGACACTCTGTTATACTGCCTCTCAAAAAGTCATGCAGAGGATGCTACAGAAAGTGAATTTAAAGAGTTGGTCTTCTTGTTTATAAATGTGGAGCTATTACAAGTTCGAGTACAGATTAAATACAGATTCTGTAAGAGGATATAGAAAATAGTTATTGCATATAACTGGAAGTTAAAATTTGGAATACAATTGCTAATGATATTATTATGTATTTAATTCCTACCTGTAGTTAGCTTATATTAATTCTGCATATTTGGGGTTTGGTAATGTAAATCATACCCTTTACTCAGTTTTCCTTTTACTCGTAGGAATCAATATGTTAGAATTAACTTGACCAATAGAGAATTCTTATACAGTATTGACAACAGAGACTGGATGGGAGAGGCAGGGGTTATGCAATACCCTGTTCTTTATCACTTGTATTAGTCACATAATAGCTACTCCATAGTTACTTTGAAATTTTTAAAAACTTGAATACTGTCAAAGCCATTTATTTATATGCTAACCACTTCTCTGAATCTTTAGGGTGTGGCTGGAAATAATACAATGCAAAATGACTATGTTTGGTGTTTTAGGAAACCATAACATTCAAGGATGTGACTGTGAATTTTTCCAGAGGAGAATGGAAGAAGCTGGAGCCCTCTCAGAAGGAGCTATATAAGGAAGTGCTATTAGAGAACTTAAGGAACCTAGAATTTCTGGGTAATGACATCCTCTTTATGATCTAGCGTCTAAGCTGGGTATCTTTTTGTCTCCTGTTATAGAAAGATAAATACTGTACTCACGTAAATATTTTAACTTTGTTTTGACTGAGCACTCAGGGATTAAATGACTAATCCTAAAAATGGATCAGAAAACTGTACTTTTCTGCAAAATTACCTCCAAAAGGTCTTTGCTTCATTAAGTTGGAAGTGTGCAGTTTCATTTTGTTATCAGTGCTCTCCCTTTCTTCATTTTCTCCTTGAATTCTAATATTGATGTCTATTTCATTTCATCTTTCCTAGAGAACCAGAGGCTTAAGTTTGAATGTTGGGACATCTTTGTTGTAGGCATGAGCAGTCATTTACCATTCTTTTCTCTATGAGCAGGCTCTTCAGTTTCCCAGTTAGATGTGATTTCCCAGCTAAAGTGGATTGAATTGCCAAGGGTGCTGGCCAAAGAAATCTCAAAAGACTCCAGACCTGGTGAGTTGGTGAAAGGTAGGTCAGAACCTTGAATGCAGTTGCTTACCAAGTCAGTTGGGAAGAGCCTTTGTAACGTTGGGCAGCCTGTATGCTAAAACATAAGGATGTGGAAGAGAGCCCTGCCCCATTTGGAATGTTCTTTTTAGTTTGAGAGACTGTTGGTTTTGGTCCTTTGAGATGTAGATGCCAAGAATGATTTGCCATGCAAGAGATTTATTTTGGAAAATTCCAGTGAAAACAAATGGGAAGGGAGCTGGAAGAAGCCAGAGAGCTATTACAGCATGATGTAAGTTTAACCTCTATGAATGAGGCGGGGAAGGGGGAAAGATTGGGGAGGAAGAATCTTG